ACAGAAAAAGCCTGCTGAAGCAAGGTTAATTTGCTTATGTCTCATGTGTAAATTTTGCAGATGTGCACACATACAAATATGCTAAAGGAAATGTTCCTAATAATCACTCTCCTGAAGATAAAGAAGCCACTTAGTGTCATGGCTCCCATATCAGTAAATCCATTTACTGAATTTCATTGACTTAAAAGGAAACATTTCCAGGACGTAATCAGTATCCATAAGCTCCTCCACTTAGCACTTTTATAACCACTTGGGAGTGTGATTTCTCTGGATATGCTTCTTACCAGCCTTTCATTCTAAACAAGTTAGTTAAATTTTGTACACTTCAGTTTCTTCATATGAGAAATGAGTACAGTAGTACCTGTTCTGCAGGATTATTATGATGATCAAATATATAATAGTAAAAAAGAAAAAAATCAAATAAAAATAAGTAGTAGCTTTTAAATGGCCTGGCTGCCTTCATGGGAAAGCAGTTGAGAACATTGCATGTAGTCATAGTGGAAGTGGAATCTATCATTTGATCTCTTTTTGAGTAAACTGAGGAGGGAACAAGAAATCCAATTTTTAAAAAATTTATTTACCTCACATAGGCATATGCCACAGCTGATGCCATATTACACTCATTATGGGTTGGAGTTGGGTTGGGGCTGGGAAAAGGAATCACTGGGAAATAATCCAGCTCTAGCAGAAAGAAGTAACACATGTCAAAAATGTATAACATTTTCTAGTATATATACATTATATATAGCATATATATCACATTCTCTAGTATAGATGAAACACTAGCAAAAATTTATGTAATAGACTACAGTGTAACTCTTAGTTACATTGAGAAATTATGAGTATATAGACAATATTCTCTGAAGTCAATAAGCCCCTATCACTTGATAAGTGTGAATTCAGTATCATTTAGCAGGATAGAATATGATAATGACATTGTGCTACCTTAACCAACATCATACCTGTTGTATCTGTGCTAGAGTAAAACTCCTAATTTTAAATTCTAATATGCATTCTCTTTTATAGGTTATTTTAATTATACACAGCATCCAGATTTATTCTGACATAATTACAAACACATGGAATAGAATTTATTCAAATTCAGTCACCAATACTTCTTCTTCCCCTCCCCTTCTCCCTTCCCCTGTTCTCTTCCATCTATTTTACTTATTTTTCTGCTATTATAATGTTTTTACTTGGTTGTTACTAAGAGCATAATATGCAGCCACATCTTAAAATTTAGAAAATACCACAGTATGAACAAACACAGCTGTGGTAAGCAGAAGAAAGAAAGATTAATGCAAAAATTAGTGGTTCCAAAAATAGACTATAAGGATTTCTTAAAGTGTATATATGCATATATATATATATATATATATATATATATATATATAACAGATGAATGGATATAAATGTGCATACATATTTGCTTTGATTTATGCTCTTTTTAAATACACATATAAAGCATGTAACTTAGGAAAGCAAAGAAAGATGAAAACAAAAATAGAGGGAAATTAAATGATTAAATATAAAGTCTGAGTCTTTCAAAACAATTTACAAAATATACAACTTAATTTAAAAAATGAGGAAGAGCCAGGTGCAGTGGCTCATGCTTGTAATCCCAGAAGCTCAGTAGGCTGGGGCAGAAGGATTGCAAGTTCAAACCCAACATAGGCAACTTATCGAGGCACTGAGCAAGCAACTCACTGAGACCTTGTCACCAAATTAAATATAAAAATGGCTGGGGATGCGGCTCAGTGATTCGATGACCCTGGGTTCAATCTCTGGTATCAAGAAAAAAAATGAAAACAAAAAGTACACACATACACACACACACACACACACACACACACACAATATATATATATATCCAGTAGGAAGAATTTACAAATAGAGAATCTATTAAACAAAAGAATAAAGCATTACTATTGC